GCGCCGAGACCGCCCCAGCGCTTGAGGGCCCGATGCTGGGCCACAAAGGGCAGCATCCCGACCCCGAGCCAGCGATTCAGGACGCCCAAGAGGAAATGTCGGGAAAGGGCCACACCTAAAGGGTGGGCAAAGCTCTCTGCGGGTGGTCTAGTCCAATGGACACGGCGAGAGGGAGGGCGCGCCATCGGAAGCCCAGCCGCCGCCTCCCCACCACCCCCGCCCCTCGGCGGAAGGCTCTTACAAGGAAAGCCTACGTCGCCACCGCCCGTCCACCTGGGGTGGGCCAAGCCGCTGCCCAAGGGCCTGCCATGCCTTTGTCGCCAACGTGTTGCTTCTTCCGCCTTTCTCCCTTTCTGCATCAGACATTGCCTGGCGTTATTCAAGGGGCGCAGGCAGGGGGGAGCGGAGGAGAGGGCTTTTGCTAAAGCAGCTCTTTACTCTTCCCCCCCCCCCCAAATCCGTTATCCCAAGCCATCTCTCCTCGGTTCGGGGAAGCTCCCAAGAGGCGTAGCCGCTCGTTGGGGCCTTGAGGTGTCGCCGGGTCTGGTCTTGGCAAAACTGGGCCAGAGGGGACGTGGGGGATTCAAGGCCTGCTCCTCGGGCTGGAAGACTTCTTCGAGGTGGGGAAGGTGGGCTGGATCCGCGACTCCATTCAGAAATGGTGAGGGCAGAAGGCGCCCCCTCCCCCGAATCGCAGAGAAATTCGGAGGGCTCTGGAAGGCCTCTTTCAACCAAAACCTTTCCCGGGCGATGACGAGGGGAGGAAGAGGAGTCAGCAGACACAGGGACCGCCGACCCGCATGCGGAGTCTTTGAGGGCCCCGGGGAATAGATCGCCCAGGGGCACCGTCTGTGCGCCTCCGGCTGTCGCCCTGCATCCGGTGGCAACCCCTTGGGGAGGTCTGCGGGGAAGAGAGAGGATTCCAGGCACCGGTCCTTCCAACCCTCCCCGTTTTCTCCACCCTAAGCTCACCTCTCCTCAGCTCAGAGCACCCGCCCCCTTCCACCATTCTTCCGGAGGCCTCCTTGCTCCTCGCCTCCCTCGCCCCAACCGCGGTCCCCTCCCTTCCGCTCATTCCCTACACCCGCGGCTTTGGCGTCCTCCTCTCTACCTGCCCTTGCCAATTAGCCCCCATTAACCCATTCCCTCCCCTTCCCCTCCTTTCGGGGCCTCCACCTGCTGGGAGGTCCCCCCCCTTCAAGCCCGCAAAGGGAGGACTGGAGGAACTGACCCCCAGTTCCACGCCTTCCCCTCCACGCTCGGCTAGGAAACGTTCCTCAGGTGGCGAGGGGAGACAGCCGGGGCTCGCTCACTTTCTCTGGCCGTCTGGGTCTGAGCGGGGGTGCGCCTCGCGATGCTCAGTACCCAGCGGGGCGCACGCAGAGTTGGCGAGGCGCGACCGACGTCCGGGGCGACGCTGGCAATGAAAGCAGCGGAGTCCGGAGATTGCGGCCCTCCTCTCCCTGCCCCCTCCGTCGCCTCTTCCGCCAGTCCTTTGCAGCAACCCATTAATCAGCCACGTCCAGAGGGCAGTCTGGCTGGGGAAAGCGCAGCGCAAGGCAGGGCAAAGCCACCCGCCTCCTGGCGGAGGACAAGCTGCCGGGAGGGCGACGTAGGATGCCGGCTCTACGAGTTGGTCCAGACGTCCCCTGGCGCCTGGGGCCCAGCAGACCCACCCGCTGCCACCTTGTTAAAGCCGCAGAATGAAGGTGCTTCGGGAGAATCATCCTCTGGACGAAAGCAAAAGGTGGTTCTTAGGAAGCCCCCCCCCCGTTTCTAGCCCCGCTTTAGTTCCAGTCCCTTCAGGATCGGCCGGCAAAGCAGGCGCGACTGGCCGAGCCTTCCGCCTGCGGTGGAAGCCCCAGCTGTCAGCCAGCCAAGACCAGCAAACAAGCAGACAACCCGCCGGATAAAAAGCGGTTGCCTTTCTCCCCCTTTTTTCCTGCCACCCATTGAAACGCTGCAGGGGGTTCCAAGGCTCAAGGTACAAACTACCGGTAGGCCAGGTAGAAGCCCGTCACGCTTGCGGCGGCAGAGAGGAGGAGAGAGGGGGCGGCCGGTCTTTGCACCCACATCGCCACCCTCCCTTTCCCTCCCGGGGTTCCAAACCGCGCTCCTCAGCAACTTTGCCGGGCACTTGCTGCTTGCGCAGCGGCGGCGGCGGGAGGGGCGGCTGTCGGCTAGGATTCACAGCCTTTGGTGTTTCGGGATCTTTCCGAGGGACCCGCAAGCGCTCACCGGGACGCCCAGGAGCTCTGCAAAGGCACGCGAATAACACACACACACACACACACAAAGGCCGAAGGGCCCAGACCGGCGGCTGCAGCTGTCTGCCCCCCGGCCCAACAGCCACCTTCCTCCCTGGCGGTGGCGAGGGAAAGCTGGGCGCCACCACTACCTCTTGCGGAGCTGCCGGTCTCCGAAGCCCGCCGGATCAGTCCTGGAGGCTGTGCTCCCGCCGTCCTGCCTTCCCGCCCCCGACAGCCTGACTCCACCGGCTCCGCGTCTGCTCGGGACCCGACTCTGGTGGCGGCGGAAGCCCGCGAGGGAGGTGAACGCATTTAACCCACCGTTCCCGGGGCTGGCCTGCCGAGGCGAGGGTCGGGCGGGGTTCCCCGGGTGCAAAGAGGTGGGAAGCGCGGCGGCCAGCCTTGGGTCGCGAGCGCGTCTCCCTCTCGCGCTTCTGCCAAGACTGGCAAAAGGAAGGGAAGGAAGGCGAGAGGAGGCGAGGCGGAGGGAGGGAGAGCAGCTTCCCCTCCCCTCCCCTCCCCTCCCCTCCCCGGAGGAGGGTTCAGCCATCTCCCTTCTTCCCAAAGAGCAACAAAGAGGAAAGAGGTACCAATGGCGCACCAGGTGCTGNGCAGCACCAGCGATGGCACGAGGTCTGCTCCAGCGACAGAGACAGCCTGTACAGCAGGGTGGGCAGCAGGTAAAGGGGACCTGGTGGGAATCCTTCATCGGGCAGAGTCCCTCTCAACCCTGCCAAGAGGCCTCAGGGCTAATCGGTAAGTGCTGGCCAGAACCCGAGCTGAAGGAGGCGGCCACCGGCTCCCCAAAGGGCTGGAGAGTGTGATGGCACGAGGTCTGCTCCAGCGACAGAGACAGCCTGTACAGCAGGGTGGGCAGCAGGTAAAGGGGACCTGGTGGGAATCCTTCATCGGGCAGAGTCCCTCTCAACCCTGCCAAGAGGCCTCAGGGCTAATCGGTAAGTGCTGGCCAGAACCCGAGCTGAAGGAGGCGGCCACCGGCTCCCCAAAGGGCTGGAGAGTGTGAAAATTCTGCCTTGAACTGGTGTATATGATTGGGGGTGGTGGATTTAACCATGGGTGGCATTGGGGAGCTCCCACTAGGTTGAACCAACACTGGAGAAGTGAGGAAAAAGAAAGTCCTGGGCGGGAGGGCAGGGCTGGCAGTCACCTTCCCCGGGAAGCGTCAGGTGGACCCTCAGCTGTTCACCTGAAATGTCAAGGGCAAGGCAGGAGCTCCAGCTGGCCTGGGAAGAAGAGGCTGGGGATGAGGCAGGGAGTCCTGGCCCCAGCAAGAAAGGAGGCCCTGGCAGGAAAATAACCAGGCAGGAATGGGCAACAGCTACTCAACCAGAGGCACCAGTATTGAGATGTGGGAAGATGGACCCCGCTGAACTCAGCCCTGCCTCACGGCAAGGATTCCCCTTGCAACACGAGGCAGAGGAGAGGCTGCCCCCGGGCAGCACAAAGGCCCAGAGGGTGGGGTTTCTGGTCCAAGTGAGAGCCCTTCACCATCCCACCCACGGAGGTGCTTTCTTCCTAGAGGTACTCTCTTGGAAGAAGCACGTTTCCTGTTCATAGCGGAATCGAGATTAAGGAACTGAAACGAGGCAGGCTGGGAGTGATGTTATTGCTGTGTAGAGCAACGAGGGAGAGATTCTCTGGAGCCTGGCCATGCGAGTCTGCTGCAGCAAAGGGAACCAAGAGCTTTCTAACATCCGAGAGACTGGTCACATTTACTAAGCTTATGCCATGGAAAAAATGGCTAGTCCCTAACTTGCCTCAAGGCAATGTTGTTTTTACAGAAAAGACCTAACCAAGTCATACTGGAGGCCAAGTGGGGGAGGGGGTGTTAAACAAGGAGAAAGAACAGGAAAACAAAGTCCTCTCTTCCCTCCTGCCTCTTCACCTTGTGAGAGCAATACAAGGACCGCACTACACCAGAAGAGCCCAGAAAGAGAGCTGGCACAGAAGGACATATGGGCATGAATCAGCCAGCTAAAAAGCCCACCTCCTCAATTAGGCTGCTCTCAGTCAAGGACTGAGCTCTTCAAGAAACAACAAGGAAAATCACAAAACCATCATATTGTTCATGTCAGCATTAAGACTCTGCCTCTCTTCATGGTGTCTGGAGGCTGGTCTGTATGAAACATAAGTGTGCCCACTTCCTGATGACAATGTCAGGCCTGACCAGCCAAAAGAAGGACGAGCCGAGCAGGTGGAGGTAGTCCTCTCAACCCAGGGGTCCAAGGAAGAAACTTCAGCCGAGAGACCTTAGCGCAGGACATTTAGATTATCTATAAAAGTCTTGCCTGGGTTGGAGAGTTCCTTGCCAGGCTACCTGCTGGGTGACTGTGCTTCAGAGAATACCTGGATTCCTCACAGCACCTGTCCAAGATGCCACTCACAACCGTGGCCCAAGACACCAGAGGTGAAGAGTCAAGGGGGAAATCACAGCTTTCCTGCATAAAGAGGAAGAAGCAGATGGGCCTGGTTCAGGGATCACCACTCAGCCACTGGCAGGGGTGGGCAATTAATTTCTTGGGGGGGGGCACATGAAAAATCTGAACTGTGTTCGGGGGCCAAACCAACTTTACTTTAAAATAAAATGAAACAGTGATGTTATGATTGTTTTTATTTTAAACTTGTTAATCTCCACAAATATTAAAGAGTTTTTTTGTGGTATGTTAAAGATAAGCAACTGATCAACTTTAGACAAAAAGCTATAAATAGTTTTGATGTTCAAAACTGTCTGCGGGCTGGACAGGAGCGGATCGCGGGCCGCTTGTGGCCCTTGGGCCACACTTTGCCCAGGTCTGACTCAGCCCTTTGTATCTGACTGTCTGTGGTCTGTGTGGCTCGCTCATCCTTTTCTTAGATGCCCATCCTGTCTATGGCTTGTGGGACTATGTCTGACTCTTGAAGGGTGAAGGGTCTTTGATCCCAAAGTGAAAGGCCAGGAGAGGTGCAAACAGCCCCCCCCATTAAAATAAACCTTCCTTTCCCGCCTGGAATTCTGCCTACTACGGCCTGCTCTTGGCTGAACGCACTGTTTGCCACAGATGTTTCCTCCATGCAGCCATGCTGCCCTCCGCGGGGCTCCAATCAACTGCACACTAATTGCCTTCCCTCAGCAGATGGAAGGCACAGGAGATGCCTGATAACATCTGTGCCAGTCCCAAAGGGCTGACGGTGCAGAACCCTGAGGTCATGCGGTCTCTCAGGCCTGGAGAAAGTGGCCACAGGGGTCCAACGGAGTAGAACTCCTCGGAGGCTGAGCGGCCACCCCTGACGGCGATGCTGCTTGAAGGTTTCCACAGGGCAGTGGAAGACAGGAGGGCCTGGAGTGCTCTGGTCCATTGGGGTCACAAAGAGTCGGACACAAAGTAATGACTAAAGAACAACAGTCCTCCTGGGGCTACCACAGACAATGAGAAGTTGAGCAAGGCCTCATCACTCACACAGGTAAGGGGCCTTGAGATTTCCAAAATGAAATCTTGAAAAGAAAGCTGCAGGACTCACACAGCAGCATGGCTATGAGGGCCCCTTGCCCTGGTCCTGCACCACAGCAGAAGAACTCACTTCCACTCTGGTGGCCCAATGAGAGCGGAAAGGAATCCAGCCGGTTGGAGAGGAGAGGGAGGGCATCCTCAGAAGAAAAAAGACAGAAGTTGACCATGGGAGACCGGCAGGGGGATGAGAGAAGAAATGTTGCACTAAGTCTTTGGTTCCCCAAATGCACAAGGCTTTTTGGGCTGAAACCAGAAGCTTGTGTCGCGATTGGAAATGCATCAGGAGCCAGTGAAATCAGGCCTAAAAATTGAATTATAGGATTAGACCCACAGACTGTCCTCTTCTTCTATCTGCTCTTACCATGCACTACCTGTATCTTCTAAACCACAAAGGCAGTCTTATATACGGTGCCTAGTAGTAATCTAACATGGCAATTGCCAGAGCATAGACCACTGTACGTCATTCATACCAACCAGCAAAATCATGGACAAGGCACTTGATGTCACTGAGGTTACCTGTATCTCAACTGAAGCCGTAGAATCATGAGACCTGCATAGTTTTGGAATCATCAGTCAATTTTCTGTGAGGAACCAAATAGCAATTCCTTGCTTCTTTTCTTTGTTGGTCAGATTTCATGTGCCTCTCCTCCCTTCATTTTTACATAAGCTTGATAGCACCTGATCTCTAAAAAATTTTTGGAACTCTTCTGACCATAAGTGCAAACAGCTGCAGCCAGAAGCGCCCAGAAAGGCAGTGCCACTGAGTAGGTATGTTCACCCACATGGCACCCAAATACAGAGTGTGTTGCAATAATGCCAACAGGTTACCTGAGGCAAGGCATGGAGTTTATCGCAGAGAAGCTCTCCAGCTCAGTGGGTGGTGATGTCTTGCTTGGTTCCCCTTACCCCACA